ATTGGAGCCTTTATTTCTGATGCTGAGAAATAAAGCTCTGGACCTTGGTCCACCACCCGTATTGTCTCACGTAGGGCTTGAATGCTTGAAGTGGCAAGTTCACTCATCAGGTTTGCTGTCTGCATTTCCAGATGTTGAGATGTTGAGTATGTTAACTGTTGGATGATATTTTGCCTTCTTCTGAGCAGCTGTGGTAGATGCAACTGGGGATGATTCACTCAGAATGGAACTGTGTTTCATATTCATAATGTACAAAATTAGGAGGAAGGAAATCCCTGAAGCGGGGATCTGTGCTCTGTGCAGATGTTTCTTACATTATTGCCAGCTTTTGATTCTGGAGGCAGGGAGCCTGACTGTCTCTGGCAGGCCAGCTCCAGGCCCCTTCTGAGGTCCAACCCAAAAAGCTCTTCATGGCAGAGAAATCCCTGCTTGCGCTGGGTTTCTCCTTGCAACTAATCTCTCACCAGAGTTTCAGGATGTTTGAGTGCTTTGCTGATTGCTGAGATACTGCTTGCACTGTTAGCTGCAAGTTAGCTTTTTTTTTCTTCGCAACTAGAAGGACAAACAACCCAGAAAGAATGAGAAAAATAATCCAGCTCACGACCCATCATACATCTTCTGAATCTTTATTACTGCAGCTGGAGCAATCTCTTCTGGTGGTTCCTCACTACTAAAAGAGAAAATATAAATCCAGATCAGGAATGTGAGTATGCTCTAAAAAACAGTGCTCTCAGATTGTTCTTTTTTTTTCTTTTCTTAATTTTGAATCTCACTGAACCTAACCATTGAAGACATTGAAGCATTGGGAATTCCCTTTATAAAGCTGCTAGTAGCGGCACAGGTACACCTAGATCCTCCACAAGTGGTGGCAGTACGTGGAGGACACAGCTCAGTGCTGCTACACCAGCCTTTCACAGGTGCACACAGTCACCTGGGCAGTCTGTGAACTCGGTTAGGAGCATGCACTCTGGCCATCCATGTTCGTGGACCTTCCTATTCTCTGGGCACACTCGAGCTACACCTGACACCACACCAGCACAAACCCAGCCTGTGCATCAGCCCTGCCCACACCTTTGCGTCCTGGTTGCTATGGAAAGGAAAACCAAGTGCAGAGACCAGGTGGGAAGGACATGCTCCAGCAGGCCACCAACCTGCATGACGAAGGGAGCACACCCACGTGGTGTGTCTGGCCATATCACCTTCATGGAGTTGTTTGTTAGTAGCAGTTACAATTCAAGATTGGCCTCTTCCCAGTTCCTTTCCCTTCAAATTTCTGATTGCACTTAGGTAGTGATTTATACTTGAGCTAGCTAGGCTATGTAGATAAAGGTGGGACAGGGAAGTGTAAGAACGGATGGGCGGATGGCCTAGTTAGGGATGGCATAGGAGAACACGTTGCCCCCTTCTCAGAGGAATGGGACATTCAAGCCAATGCTCAAAGACAAAAAAGCTGGTGTCCACCTGCAGACCCTTCTCCAGGATCTCTCATTTTACCATTTACCTTCACGGCCATCACAGCTCAAACAGCAGCCTGCGCTCTCCCAGGGAGAATCTATCAACATGCTTGCAAGGTGCAAGATGAGCTCAAGACCTACCGAGACCATGTAAGGACAGGGCTGGTGGGATGAGAGGGTTTTGGAAACAGTCCAAGACGTGTTGGCAGAGGCTTTGTACCTGGTCAGAAGAGAAGGGGCAAGGATGGCAGTCACTCCTGCACCTCCTGAGCAGCCTGGGAGGCCAAGGATACCTTGATGCCTGCCCATCTTTCCCGCCCCCCGCCCCAACCAAACAGGCACATGACACCTTTCTTTGGCAACGCAACGGATGGGGAACCAGAGGGAAAACTTTAAGCTAAGCATGACTAATATTAACTTTAAGATGCACCCAGCTGCATGTTTCATAGGGAACTAGGGTCATGGGGTGAAGAGAAGCCAACAGTCGGAGGAATAATGTCAGAGATTTTCTCAGAAAACAGGAAAAAGCAAGGAACTTATGAAACGTGTACCAGCAATAGATAGTCATGGCAACATCTCCATTTCAGAAATTAGTCTAGTTCGAACTAATCTACCAGGAAGGAGCCTCAGAAGTCACAGAGGAGTATGCCCCAGTTGCTTGGACTGTGCTTCAGAACCAAGAACTCTCTTCACGTTTCGTATTCAAGATGTTTCTTTCTGGCTTGTAATGGACATTATAATTGCCATCACATGGTGCTATAATATACTTGCCTTCAGAGTGCCCAGCCTGGCTCTTGATTTCTCAGTACACATTTACCAGTCTTGGATTTTATATTTAGCATCCACAAATTAGAGGCAGCAGCAGCAAATTAAAATACCTTCACCGTAACAAGTAAGAGGGTTAAGTACTTTCAGTCATACAGTGCATTAAGAAAAAGCATGTGTATATATGTATACATATATGCAGGCACATACACACTCACATTTATTTATACATTTATTTTTGTATGTTCATATATTTATATACATGATGATAGATCTTAATTTGCAAAGTCGATGAATAAATATTTGGTAGTCATCACCAAACTTCTCCAAATTAATGTCTTATATCACCCTATTCCATTAATATCCCAGTAATGAATTTTAAAAAAGAACACATTCAGGACTAGCCAACCATCCCTACTCCACCGCCAAATTGCAGTGCAGAGCTGAAGTACAAGAAAGTGAAACTTTTGTCCCTAAGTGTGGTATCAAAGTTTATACCTGCTCTGGTGAAACCTGTTCCTCACTGGGGGACAATACAAAAATGAACCCCAAAACCTCTTGTCCTACACCTTGCTAAAGGTTAACATCCTTATTATGAGACAATTTCTACTTCCAGTTTCACTGGGACTCCCACTTTGGCCTGAGCTGATAGGCAAAACCTTTGACACACTGCCTGCTGCCTTTTTAAGTGGACAAGCTGTCTATTTTTCACACACATGCAAACCATGTGGAAAATATTTTTAAAATCTCTACTGACACCGTGAAATTAAGAACAGATTTTTGGCCTGATGCCAGTATACTAAAACAATGTTTCTTGCTCTATGATGTGCAGACCGGTGGGATCCATAGATCCTTCTGAGAGACCACGGTATGTTAAAAAAAAAAAAAAAAATCAAATCTGCTGTCAATCAGATCAGATGCCCTATTAGGGGCTAAACACCTCCAGAGGAAACCAGAAAGCTGTCACAAAGCATCATTCCCAAATGTGGACATGTTGCTTTCCAAAATGCAAATGTCTGTGTTCGATGCATGTACTACCAGTGTGAATAAACAAGAGTGTAGAAGCAGCAAGGGTGAACATTAGATTTTGAGAAATTCTGCACAAGCTCCATTGGAGAGCACTGCACATTGGCTGGGTTCCTGAGCAATTCCATTTATGTGAGGAAAAGAAAGAGATCCAGCAAAAATTGAAACCCTTCAACACCACACTGAAGAAAGTTAAAGGGATTCTATTAAAATATTTAGGACCACTCTCTCCCATCAAGAGCAATGTTCCCAATTACAACTAATTTTTCATTGTGGAAGGCATCAGGAGAATTCCAATTTTTAAAGTAGAATGAAGCGATGAAAATGTAATACCCCAAAATAAAGATGAAATAAAATTAAATTGAAGACTCATGAGAAATTGAAATTGATTTGAAGGCCGATATAATCTTCCTCCAGTAGAAGACAGTATTATATCTTCTTCCCAAACACAAAAGTATAAGAAGCAATCAAATTTTATTGTTTCAGAAAAGATGTGCCATAAGCGGAGGTGGTAACGGAACACAGTCAGATTGTTCTGCTGCTCTGGGGACTTTTGCTTATACACCGTGGGATTGCCCAGCTGCCTCTAGCAAATGTGGAAAAATAGAAAATAAGATGCAAACAGCACCTATGCTATACTTTCAAAATCCAAGCAGTGTACTTAGTAAGTGCCCAAAAACAAGCAACACAGAAAAGGAAGTTAATAATTATGCTAATTTCTAAGGGAGGAGACAGGTAACAAAATAAGTCTGAGTAGGGAGAGAAGTATGAAGACC